TTAATGATAAAACTGCAGTAAATTATTAAGATCTGTGGCAAAGGTGAGTACCTCTACCCTCTGAACAGTCAACTGTGAAATAATACTGGGCACCTGCCTGCCTGGAGTGGAGTCGGTTCTTATTAATTATTATCTGTGGATCCATGGTTGGTGGAATATTCTCCTTCAGTACCTACTTATAATTGTGTTCATTGACTGTGCCGAATCCATCATCTGGGGTTTTTTTGAAGTTTCATTCACACCTTTTATAGAAATGTATTTACACTGGAACATTTCATATTGCTGTTTTGGATATTTTGACCTGCTCATGTTGTTTCTATTTTCTACATTTCCACTTCAATGCTTTCCCTTCAAATTAGCAAGTTAACTGATAAATATAAACTGTGACCTTAGTGGTGCTCTCACCATACAAGCTTTAGAGATTGAAGAACTTTTCTAGTGCACTATAGAAGGAGCAAGCAAAAGTGCTAATTACAGGGCCCCCAGAGCTTTTCAATGTCCCTGTCCACATTAGAGCTTGAACTTTGCTGGCACTTCCATAGTTACCTGGAAGAGATGCCAAGCAAAACTCCAACTACAAAAGACTATGAGATTTCAACAAGGGTTCCAAATTGCTTGGGAAGAATTTTATTTATTTTTAACTGAAGTGTCTAACTCCAGCCACAGTATAAATTTACCCACTAGGATTTTTTTTTTCCCCGTGTTTTAATGTGGGTTTTGAGCACAGTGCCCCAAGGAGGAGAAAAGCAAGGAAGACAGCTGCAGTGGTGGTGTAGTTTGGAAACGACGCAGCCTCCGCAAATGCAAATGAAGCCTGTGAAACCCAGCCAGCACCTAAGCTGCTTCCTCAAAGGAAACCTTGTCTTCTGAACATTCCCTAGAAGCTTTAGCAATGCTCTTCACTCTGTTTTGACAACACTAAAGAATTGCACAAACATCTTTTGTGGGGCAATATCTGGGCACATGCACACACGATATTTGGTTCCATAACAAACACATACAAAGAAAATTCTCCTTCAGCTGACAAAGTCTACGGGTCCATTTCACACGATTTGCCCTGTTGAAATGTCATTTATCAGACCACCTCTTCAATCACTGCATTTCCCCTGTTTTCAGGTTAGTCTGTAGCAGGTCTCAGCAATTCCCAGATTTTGCGTTTTCTTCTTTAAGGGCCATGATTAAAGAAAGTTCTGATAAGCCTTCCAACAGCATTTGGGCACTAATTCCCAAATCCTAATACATTTCTAATAGGAATGGAAGGTACAGCTGCCTGCAACAACAGGAAATACAAATCAAAGACCAAAGCCTTCAAGCCCTCTGTCCTTGATTTTTTCCTGGATTCAGCAATCATTTTATCTCTTTCTCCTCCTCTTTCACCCACATTTTCTAGCTATGGCTCAGGTTTTCCTATATAACCTGTAATTTAGGTTTCTCAAAGAAGTTACTGATTTTGGAGACCTCATGACCAAAACTTAGCCCTTTCATTATGGCACTGAGGAAAAAATATTTTCTTTTCTTTCCTCCAAGACTATGATACTCTGATTTTTGGGAAAGTTTGCTACTTTCCCAGTGGAGTAAGGATAAGCAAACTTGTACAGAAAAACGGTGCTGGAGTTTCAGACAGATGAGGTTTGCAAATCAGTTCTCACATTGATTCAACCCTTTCTGCTCAACCCTCCAAGAGTGAATGGCCTCAGAGCAAAAGATCAGCCAATGCTGTATATAAAAGAGCAAACTGCACTCCAAAGTTGTGTTAGTGTGAATGGTGTTCTATATAAAGCATATGTACCCTATTAATTTTTTATTAAAAACCTTCCTTCTGTGCATCTTTACTCTTATTTTTTGCACAGTCCTGTATTTGTTCTCCAGTCCATTCTCTCTGTTCCACTTCTATCCTATTTGTTTGCTCTTTTTTTTATTTTCCTTTCTCATCTTCTTTTCCTTATTTATCCAGTTCATACTACCCAGAGTACACCCTCAATAGCATAAGTCAGTGAATCAAACTCCTTGAACTTCTGGGTTCATTGGTGCAGTAATTTTACAGTGGAATAAAGCCATCTGCTCTCTCTGGTTTTGTTAGGGCAGTTATGATTGGAGAATTATTTGTTTTAAAATCAGAAAAACCCAGGATACTGCTCTGTACCAGCTCTGTGAAAAACCCAAGGGCCAAGTTACGTCTTGGCCCAGCTCTGGGTCACAGGCTGCTGTCTGAGGAGCTGCATATTCGAGAGTCCAAAATAACTTTCTCCGAACAGCAATGCGTTACGGACATTACTGACACCAGGCTGAATTTTGCCACATCTGCCTCCACAGACTGGGGGCTCAAATAAGCAGCACTGAATGCCAGGGGAAATCACTTGCTTGTGTCATGTGCAACTGGACCTGACTATGACTATTTACTATCAGTGCAGATTACTTGATTATCTGCATTAACCAGGCTTGCAGACATGCAACTCTTTGCAACTGGGTGCTTGTAGTAAAGCCTTCCAGGAGTGTTCAAGTGAAGCAGAAGGATCACAGGAATTCAATACAAGAAATCTTATGATTCTTTTTATACCTCCCTGAACATCACCCTCTTTATAAGCATTTTTCACTTATTCAATACTATAAACCAAAAGACTAACCCACTTCAGCTGATTATGTAAAAAAATATATTTGTCACTTACTTCCCTCCAACATTTGAAGCTTTCTCCAGAGCCCTCATTTGCTGTGATTTGCAGGAAAATCCAGCTTGTCAGGCTTACTAAAAGGAATATGAACAATGTCTTTCACTTGGATGTTACTGTTTTATAGAAGGGCTGATCTGTAAAAGAGTATCTACCTTTAAATTTATGACCTCTATATGTTTGAGAAACGGAGCCATGTAAACACATCCATTTCCTGGGGAGGCTGTGGTGCTGTCTAAGCACAGACACCCAGGCAAGCCAAGGAGACAGATTCCAGTTTTGCACTGTCTTGCAGGTTGGCAGAGCAGACAGGACCACATCAAAATCGCAGACCGTTGCAGATCTTCATCATCTCTCCTTTACTCACCTCACTGCTGATATTTCCTTGGAACAAAAGAAGTCATAAAGTTCTTATTGTCCCCTTATCCTTCCACACATTCAAGTCCCTGGGAAGAGACCAAAGCCTGCTCATATCTGATATTATCAGACCCAAGGAACTGGTTTCTGATATTCCTGTTCAGGGGCCTGGAACATCTACCCTTACTCAGAAGTTGAGCCCTTCCTGTCCCACTCCCAGCCTTGCTGGGATGCTCATGCCCTTCCGGCAACAAGCAATTGTGTTCTCCAGCTTCAGACACACAGGGCAGAACGTGGGGAAGGTTCAGGAGCACACCTTCCATTTGGAACACTCTGCAGAGCTCTGAACACCCCACCCAGGCCTTTCTCATTATGTGTATTACCATCCACCTTGATCCCTTTCCCTCGAGCACCTAGAGAATTACCCTGGAGCTCTTCCTCCCTGACTTGTTCATAGAAAGCCAATCTAGTTTTTACTGACTTTTTCTGAGAGGGGTCTGAAGAGGATGATTCCATGAACAACCACCATGGATTTGGTATCTTAGGGCACAGAAAAGATTCTCTGGTGCAAGCATAAGCAAGTTTGTGGGGGGTATCAGCCTTCAAAGCTACCAGACTTCAACTGAGGTGGCCACCCGGCTGTCACATTGCATTTGGGGTTTGCTTTGCCATCTGGCCATTTAGTCACCCAGACAGGGCCTCCCAGCCCGAGGGGGATGCCCAGGCTGCAGTGCAGGAGAGCACACTGCCTTACCAGATCCATGCTGAGGCTCGCAGTAGCTACTGGAAGAAAAAAATCTCTCATTTCCATAACATTGGCTATCCCCTCTCTAAAATGGCTGGGTAGGCAACTGCAGTGGAGCACACACAAGGCTGCAGTACAGCACTGGAGAGAACAGTAACCTTTAAATACTCCAAAATCAAATCTTGTTTTACACAAAATCGCTATGGTAAAGTCGATGTGAATGAAGCACCTTTGAGTGAAGGAACAGAGGGAAAGGCAGTGGACAGTTTTAGTGCCTCCTAGCAATTCTTTTTAATAAACTAGAGATGACAGACAGCCTTACCAACACATCCTTCATCTTCAAATACGACTTTCTTCAGACAGAGCTCAGTGGAACTGAGTCAGCCTTTTTTCTTGGGCCTAGCTCTTGGCATTTTTCATATTAAAACAAAGTATAATGCAGAAATAATTCTGGACTCTAGTAATCTGATGGGATTTTAGTAACGCAGGCCACAGATTAGCTCTGCAACAATTTTAGGCAAACAAAATAAAATGAAGATATCACATAAAACACCTGATGTGTATGGGTTTTTTAAATATGCTTATGGATCAAGTTACCCTTTATAGGGTTATGCCTGCCTGTGGAAGTGTGCAAGCTTTTGAGGAAATTCCTGTCAGTGGAGAACATAGCTCCACTCATGCAGCAGCCAGCACTCACTGCTTGGCCTCTGAAGCTCCCAGGCTGCAGCAAAGGTCCCCTTCCCCAGCTCATCACAGCCCCTGCACCCCATTTTCCTGAGTCAGCCAAGGACAAGCCAAGCAGAGATGGGATCACCTCCCTGCAACACCCAACAGTCTCATGCAGATAAGGCTTCTTCTGAAGGATCAGCTTTGCCTGACCTCTTAACTAGTAGCCCCTGCCAGCCAAAATTGAGCCCTGGAATTATTTTTAGCCAGAACCTTTCATGAATTGCAGTTAACTCACAATATGCAAACTAGTGACTAGTACTAGAGAAATCCCTATGGGTTTTGTGGTTCCACTGCCTGCTCAAAAGTCCAATTATTCATTTTTCTTGGAGCTGCAATATTCTTCTAAAAAAGTTGCACAAATGGCAAGAGATGTCATTCTCCCTCCATCCCCAGTTCAGATAACCGAAAAAAAGGAAGATAAGCATTTAGCTCAGGGCTTATTAGCTATACAAAGTGCAGCTGTAAACCTTCAGAGTCTGACCCTCCTCCAGATATGCCTTTGACAAGAAATTTGTCAGTACTTTCACCTCTGACTCGGGGCCAAACATACTAGTGCAGAGATGGAATAGGAGAGCTAGCCATAGGAAGGTATGGGTGAGTTACTGCTTTATTTTTATTTTATTTTATTCTAGCCAAATCACTTGCTTCAATACCTGTATGAGAAAATGCAGTAAAGTAAAAGGGGAGGTTAAAGTAGCTGGAAGGGGTGACTGCTCTAAATCCTTTGGAAAGGAATGGAAATCTTTAAATGGATTTAGGCAGGCTTTGAATCAGACCTTATCACAGAAGGAATGACCAAGACAGTTCAAAGCAGAAACTCCTTCACCTTTTTTTTTTTTTTTTTTTTTTTTTTTTATAAAATTTTCATACTATTCAGGCTTCCCCAGCTTTCCCCTGTGAATACAACAGGAATAAAGCACATAGATTGCATCACCTATCACCATTTTAGACATCTTTGTTCCCAAGAAATTTAGTATTTGCTGGACATCTTTACCCTGGGACACTTACTATATATTATTTTGTAAGAGGGTACCAGGAAGATTCATGCTTCCTCCCCAAAAGAGCAATAACTGTATTTTCATTACTTCATGTCTGTCAACAAATATGGCAAGTTTGCTACTTCTGTGTTTGTCCCTAATGGATCTCTACCATTGGAAAATTCCCCAACACTCTGGCTCAATTAAACACTATTTGTTGTTTCTGCTCTTTTGAACTCCACACGTGGAAGTGCAAGTCAGGGCAATACATTTAACCAAAAGCATTGAAAGGACTGTGTGAGTTTCACTCTGAAACAAAGATTTCAACAGAGTGCACCTTTTCCTTTTGCCTATTGCAGCCTCCCCCCTTCTCTCTGAGGAACAAAGAACCAAGTCCAAATAGGAAACTGTTAGAATGGAAGATTATTTTAATTTCTGTTGTAAGTTGCTGTGTATAGAAAGCCCACTGAAAAAACAGCAAACCAACCCCAAAGAGCACTTAATCATAATATTATTACCAATTTATTAAACCAAGATTGCATAGACTGGAGAAATGAGTGTGACACATCCTTGGGGGTTTTCTGGAGGTAGACCTCCAGCTGTTTTATTCACACATGCACTCCTGTTTACAGGGACTTAGAAAAATATTTGCACTTCAGTTCAATGCAACACCATTTTATATTGTTTACTGATTTTCCTTAAGGAAGGGTAGAAGCATGCACAGCAAGCTGGAGAGGTACACTTTGGGAGACAGGGCTACCATCTTCCAGGGAAAGTGGGGGAAAACACATGGTGGTTGTTAATTTATATCCTGGACAATGCTATAAATCGAAGCATCGCTGACAATTCCTGCCCAGTAAACATGCTCAATTTCATCTCCCGTAAAAAGGCGAGCAGGCACTAAATAGCAACACATTTTGATTTTCATTTAGCCACTTTAATGATAGGTGATGTTAGTGGAAAAGATCATTTATCTTCAGATTTATTTTATACGAGATAAAAGGCCTTGCCAATTTTTTAAAATTCATTTACACAAGTGAATAAATCTTCCCAAACAATAAGTAGGAAAGTCATATTTCTTTAACTTTGCTAAAATCTGAAAATGCTGATCTTGGAGTGAAATAGACAGCACTGGCATTTTAATCAAGATCATAAAGACTCCTCTTCTAAATAAGAAGCACAGCTATACTTCAGAAAAAAAAAAAAAGTCTGATTCAGAGATGCCTTTTTTAATGCATTTTGTAAAAAAAATCTCTGATAAATCAGGAGAGACACGTGCAATCTTTATGTCCCCTTCATTTTTAGATCAGTTCCAATGTGAAGGCTACCTAAAAATAGACAGAACCTAACCTTTCAAATATCTATACTGCTGCATACCACGAACACAAGCTTTCAGTGCCTCTCATGGCTTTCAAGAGCCTTGTGCTGTGCCTGTTTGCTCCTCTGGCACATTACCCCACGGTGCCTATTGCACCCAGGCATGAGACAAGCTGCAAGTTGCAATGCGCGGTGCACTGCAATATGCGATATTTGAGACACACAAGCAGAAAGATCATGAAAGCCAGCCTTCCCTTTTGGCTGTTTGATTTTTGCCACAAAAAGGACACTGACAACGTTGAACCTAGTAAGTGAGGATGTGAAAATGAAGCTGTGCTGGCTGCCCCAGCAGCTCTGTTTAGAAAGCACAGGCTGTCTGGTTTGCAGCACACTACTCTTAAAAATATGAAGGGAACAATAAGCTCTTTTATTGTTTTCTACAGTGCTTGCAGACACAGTTCTACCCATCTAAAGGAGAGCTTTTGCAACAGTGCACTGAGTAACTGGTGTAGAATTACAAGACAGCAGAACACTCGGTAACTATTTCTTTGCATTACACTTTCAAAAATGTGATTCTACTTGGCCTAAACAGTATAGGTCAAATACATCCCAAGCACAATCCCAGCAATTTCAGGTCAGTGGTACCTGAAAAATCAATAGCATTTAAGTTGATGAAGTTATAACAAGGGGGATTTTGGCCCAGGCTGTACAAATATACTTATTGAATATATTCTTCACTTGGTATTATGCTATATTTAATTGTTCTCTAACGCTAGACACTTTACTTAGCAGGTCCTAAAGTCACACTAGAAGCTGGAATAGGAGGAATCTGTACTAAAATCTCCTTGTGGGGCTGCCCTGGAGGCTTTGAGTGACTGTGACTTTTGCTTACATGAAATAGAAAATCACCCTTGTACCAGTTGTTAGCTAGCCACTCCTACCAGGAATGAGCTCGTAAGGACTTGCTTTTCTTTGTTTACTGTCATGCTCTGCTCTGACGGAGTCACAAGTTTGTCAAGGCATTTTACTCTGTCAAGAAATGAATAAAATAACTTACACTGATAAAATAATGAAACAAAGCAGCATCAGACTAAATGAATTCCTTCAAAGAATTTTAGATGGAAAATGTCTTACCTGCTGACAGGAAGGCAAGAATAGCAAACAAAGGCATAGGAATAAAAGCTATTCAATAAAATATCGATTTCATTATCACCACCTATTCAACTTAATTTTCTTGGCATCCATATCCCTAATGCAGGTTTGTGATAGATCGTACAATCACTTTTTAATTAAGCCCTACTGTGCCTTGTATTAAGAACAAGACAGTATACATTATGGCACAATATATCTACCAAAATATTTAATGCTTATCCTTTTCATTTTGGTATTTAAAAGTTGTTCTCTTAGGAGGTGGTATCAGTATTTAACAACATTCTTGACAGCAAGTATAAAAACAAAAAGCTTCATACTTAATCTAGCCATGTCAAAACTGAAACTCCTTAAAATAATTGCTTTCTGAATATATAGTATTTCTATTGCATTATGCCATTACTACTCAGCTTTCAACATCTTAAGATGCAAAACTTGTTCCTTCTCCTACATACTGATGAGATAGGAAGTGGCACAAGGATAGAAAACTCACATTTGACCAGTTGAATGGTACATGAAACAGATGTTATCATGTTACAAGAGATATTTAATGAGAAGCTATAGAAGACTGGCAGCTTCCTGGGCTAGCAGTATTTTTGTTTCAGGTCTCTCTTGGTGTCTTGCGGTTCTGCTGCTTGTGATGGGGCAGATCCTCTATAAGAACAGCACTCACCTTCCACTGTAGTACTGGCACTTTTCAAAGGGCAACCTTCACTTTAATTACTAAAATTTACCCATCTTCTTCCAAGTAAGAAAAGGCTGTTGTTGCATGTATAGTGTGGTTTTAGTTTTTAATGCCAGAAATTAATCAGTAAACATAGTTACATTATGGTGTACTATTTCTTATTCTGTACCCATAGTAACCAAATTAATCTCAAGGCACTGCTGGCATTAATTCAATCTGAAGCTCATACTTTGGATTTCACATAGGTGCCTTCATCCTATTCTTCTCAACTAATAAAATGTTAATATATGGCCATGTATTTATTTCTGGTTCAGTTCAAGTTGAGGTGTGCAGTACTTTGCAGAAACCTAATTAATATGAATCATACATTAGAACATTCTGTTTAGTATACAAAAAAAAAAAAATTATGCTAGCACATGAGTATGAAACAGAACATCTAAGAATTCATTTCTAGCTGTAACTTCTCTGTCTCTTGCATAGGGAAGGCCAGTTCTCCTTACCCTTAAATCTCCATTAAAAAAAATCCCTAACATATGGTGCAGTTCTTCACTGAAGAACTCCACCAAACAAATCATAAATTATTGAAAAAATAACAGGACTGAAGAGATCTTGGAAGATGAGATACTGACATCTCCTCCTGTATGAGATTTCATACAGGAGAAATGTATGAAATCTCATACAACCAAACCTGAGTTTGGTGCACACTAGCAATGAACTAGTTCCCACAGTGATCCAGATGTACTGTCTTCAGCAACACCCACTGATGGGAGTTTTTCCACAGGAACAGCCTTCAGCCAAAAATACCCATCCAGTTGATAGTGAAAAACCATCTCCACACCCCAGGAATTGTGCCTGAACTGCTCAGGAGACATAAGCAGCTCAACAGCTGAGGTGCTGACTAGGTCTTCTCTAGACCTCAACAAGAAGAAATCCAGTTTGTTTGTCAGAACTTAATTTGGGCAATCTGATACCCCCGGCATGCTACAATCCCAAAATCTTCTCTTTTGCTTAGAGAGGTTTTGCAGCAACAGTTCACACTTCTTGGAACCCTTCTTACCTAGCTGTTCCCAGTCCCAGGGATTCCCAGGAGCACTAGTGTCCCCAAGTATTTTGGTGCTTTCAAAATACCCAGCTAAGAGAAATTACTGCACTAAATGGTGCCTAACTTGATCCAACCACTGACAAAGTAACAGGGCCAGATTCTGCCACTCCTGCTCACCACATACAACAAGCAGTCCCATCAAAAGGCTGAGCTGATGTGAAGAGCTAAGGCAATGCTTATGGACAACCAGAGGGAGTGCAGGTGATCTGTGGCTCACCAGGTGAAGATCCCCACTCTGAAAGGAATCATCATCATGCCAGTGCTGCTCTGCATGGAAGCTCAGGCCCCAACCTGCAGCAAAGCTTGTATTTTGGCTGACAATGTTCTGTTCTGTCCTGGGGTGACATGTTCTTACAATGTTCTGTTTGCCATGTTCTGGCAAAAGCCACAGGGATGTTCGAGCAAGCCCACAAACAGGTTGCACTGGCAGCCCCACACCCACCACTGCAGGACACAGAAGATTCAGTGGGTCTCTCCATTAGGCACATCACTCAAGGCTGTATCAAAGACAAGCTCAAGCCTAGCCTTTGCAGATTGGCCCACCTCAAACAAACCTCCCCAACACAGGACCGCATCAAACAGCTGGAGTTCAAAGAGCTGCCCAATCATTTCAGGTTCTTGCCTTGGTAACCGAGCGCCAAAACTCTCAGGGGGCCCTGGTGTCCCCTGGGCACTCCCATAGGGCTCCACTGGCCTTGAGCCCTGCCTGCATACTGCACCCAAGGGCACGATACAGTCCTTCATTTTCACCAACTGCTACAGAGTAAGAATTCCTAGAATGGCTCAAACACACACCAGTTCAAATATGGGTACTTTCAGACTTCTTTTCTATTCCAAATTATGTGCTTTGCCAGCTTCAAAAAAACAGATGGAAAACACGTCCCTAAATGTGCACCCTTGTGATCATTCCAAAAGGAAAGCAGCACCAAGTAGCTTAAAATGTTTGCTAGAAAAAATCTTTTCCATATCATGCAAATAGCAGACAAAAATAACCGCTAGGCAATTGATATACATACAAATATTGGTTATTTTAAACAGTAATTTGTTATTGAGGACATCTCACTGAAATATTATAATATTCAATTTCCTCTGCATTTGCATGGAAAAGGAGCTGGAGAGCACATGATCATTCATTTAACTATTACATAAATACGTCTATCATAAGATCACACGGTTTTCAAGCCAGAGTTCAAACACATGTTTAATGCATGAGAGTATGATGAAGAAACTTGTGAACTCACAGGTCTCGTAGCACAATCTCAATCAGATACAAGCTTGGTGTAAATATGTACAGTATCGTGTGCTTTCCAATAGCACCATGTCTCCAGGCAGCAGTCTGACATCAGCAGAGGAGACAGGTGGTTCCCTTTCCAACCCCGGAGGGGTGAAAAAAAGGAGTTAAGACACTGTGTAAATATAGCAATATTTTTTCCTCAGTGTTTTGCTACAGTTTTCAACCCTTAATGAAACTGCAGTGCATGAACAATTCTCATAACATCTTTGCTACAAATCAGTGAGTGGATGTCATGTCCTAAGATATTTATAACCTTAAAGGTAGTGGTAAGTGATACTGTTTGGCAGCCTCGGTTTAGAAGTGCTGAAGTTATTTGCCTTTTGGTTTCGTAAGAAAGGAGCTCCAAAAAGCCACAAAAACCCAGTTTCCTTGCTCTAAATGTATCCCTTTCCTATAGCAGATCACTGTTTCTAATAATGCCTGTAAGAATGACAAACAGCAGTCAAACACAGGCACAGAGCAGGTCACAACTGCTTTTAGCTAGCTCAACTTTGTAAACTCTAACAGTGTGAGATATGCTAAACCCTGCACAATCCACAGTAGTTTTATTTTGAATCTCACATTACAAAAGTTCACACATATGCTAACCTGCATATAGAATAACCCAATTTGACCTTTTTTTTCCTATCTGTACATAAATAGATTTGATTTTTTTTTTTTTTTTACACAGTGACAGCCACTGCCTCTTAAACCATTTTCTTTTGTTGCATTTCCTTAGAAACACAAATCTTGTTCCTTGGCAGCAGTCGCTGTAAGTGCTGTACCACATGCCCAAACTAGTTCTCACTCACAGCTTTAATTCACAGTAAGTGGCACGAAAGGAGGTCAACACTTCTCAGAAACCACTTTCAGTTCTTTGCTGCTTCAGTATCTATTCTATAAAGCCATCCGCCCTAACAGAAAGAAAGTTGCTTCTTATATTGTGTCCCTTGCTTTTTTATTATTGTCATCTTTATGGAATGGGCTGCAGAATATATCTGATGGAATAAAAGAAGATTATTCCTGAACCCACATTCCTTGTCTCCCTTTTGCAAGATCCTAAAAAATAAGTAAAAAGAAAATAAAAATTAATATTTTCTGCAATGAAAATGGCCCTTTCTTTTTCCGTGCAGAAAGACTTTAAATAAATGGCAACTCAGTGTCAATCACCGGGTCTTACTTTCAGTTCAATTTACTTGCCTACAGAATGTTTATTTTTTTTATCAATCTAACCAAGACATCATGGAGGTTTAAAATCAAACAGCCTTCTTTTTTCCATGATGCATCACTGGTAAGAGGAATGGCCTTGCTGACAATATTTTGCTGTCACATTTGCCTCTACAGCTTCACTGCCTTCTCTGTGATCAATGAAAACAGATTTTGACCTCATCTATTTCATTTCAAACCATATTCTGCCCTGAGGCACACGAGTACAACCTATCATAGTTATAGTGGCAATTGGGGCAGAATTTGTTCCTTTCCTGACAATTCAATATGTGATTCATGAACCAGAATTGAATCCAGTTCTCCCTTCCTAGAGCTCCTCTGGTTTTTGGCATCAGTAAAAAAAGCAGCAAAGATGAATTTATGTTGGTCATATCAGCAGAACTGGCTGGGTAGTCAATAATCAGACTGCTCAGCAAGATGCTACCTGACCAAAAGTTAGTTACTGTATTTTATTTACACAGTTTATTCTGTAGTCTGCTTGCTTGCTTGCTTGCTTGACTTCTCCCTCTGTTGTTTAATGGGATCATAAGACTTGGAAAA